CCCCCTCCCAGGGCACCCCACAAGGCACCGTCACCCCCCAGCTCTCCGCCGCCCCTCACCCCCCGATGCCGGTGATCCCGGTTATCCCGGTTTATCCTCACTCACTTCCTGCTCCGCCGGCTGCTGTCAACACCCCGCGCTTTACAGCACGGCCGACGCAAAAGCCGCTGTCGCAAAAACCTCTGCGGTTGCGTCTCGCTTGGCGGCGCGGGAGAACTACAACTCCCGGCGTGCCCCGCGGGCAGGGAAAAGGCGGGAAAAACGTGAGGGGGACACTGGGCAGAATGCGCTGAGGTGGAAAATGGGGTGGAAATCGGAGAAAATTCCACGATTTTCACCTCAGGCCTGGAGGGATTGAGGCTTTCTGTTGCGGTTGTGCCTCTGGGGGGGCTGGGGGATATTGATTGGGCTGACAGGATAGAGGACTGGGGGGAAAAATGACTTGCTGGGAGCTGAGGGGAAACAGGAGGGTATGAGAGGGGTGTCAATAATGGAGAGCTGGGGTAATGTGGGGCTACTCCTTGTCTGTCTCAGGTAACACCAGGATGGGGAAGCGTAGGACCCACACACTCCCAGGTAACAGGGAAACTCCCAAATGTCCCAGTTTGGGCCCACGGTGGCCCTTCCCCACCCAAGTGGGATTCCCCCACATCAAAACCGAGACTCCCTTTCCTGCCCACAACAGGCGACAGGAAATTCCACGCTCCCAAAGCCAAGCGGATCCTTCAGGAAGCTCCAGGAGCTTCAGCCAGCTCAGCCGTGCCCGTTCCTTCCCAGAGCAGCGATCCCGATGGAGATCCTGCCAAGGTGGAGTCCCAGGCGAGGTAATGGGAGGGAACTGGGAGGGAGCGACTTGGGCTGTGTTATAAATGCATATCATATTATTGGCTTTTCGCAAGTATTATAATGAATATTATATGTATAAGATTAGAAAATTTAGCTGTAAAAATATAGTCTTCTTAATTTCTGTTATTAATGAAACTTAGAAATAGTGGTATAATACATGTATGTTAGGCTATGACACAGCATTCAAACAAAAACTACTTTTATTTGTGTAACCCAAAGACTGAAAAAAAGCTGGAGATATTTTTTTTCTTTTGTAAACTATTTTATCCAGATGAAGACAGCAGTGCCCAGAACTCTGGGGGAGGAATTTATTGCATTTCTGGTATCAGGGAATGTAAATCTCGATGGCACCAAGAAGATTGATCTATTGGGAAGGGGGCAAGAGAAAACTAAACAGAAGAACACCAAAGATCCTAAGAAGAATGTAGGAATATGTATGAGAATTTATGGATATGTAGTAGGGTTCTGTTTTTAAGGGACAATCCTTTGTTAGTGAGGTGAATGCAGAGACACCCGGCACTATCTGTGTACTTTATTTTTTCTTCTAATTGTTTTTCCATTAAACTTTTAAATTCTATAAAAATTATGTGAACCTCGTTTTTCACAGTCTGGATCCCCTCAGATCCAATCCTTTGGAATTTGCTGGGTCCAACGGCAGGAACAAGGTGGATCCAGAGGGAATCCCTGTGGGAGAGCACGGAGCCGGATCCCTGCAGGTACGGAAAACCTCCAGCACGGTGTTCACACCCAGCAGAGGGAAAAACTCCCCAAACTGGGGTTTTTAACGTGTTATTTTTCAGGAAGGAAGAGACAAGATTGGAGGCGACAGAGCACTAGGATCACCCAAACAGAGCATTTCCAATGGGATGGAAGAGAATCTTCTGGAATTGCCCCAGCCGGGAATTTTGGAAGCAAATGGGACAGGAGAGGATGAGCTGGAGTCACCAAAACCAGGAATTCTGGATGGGGCAGGAGAGAATTGTCCAGAATCACCAAAAGCAGCAATTTTGGAGGTGGATGGGGCAGGAGAGGAGCCCCCAGAGTCAGGGAAACATATAATTTTGGATGGAATGGGTCAGAATCATCTGGAATCGTCTCAGCTGGGGATCTTGGAGGGGAATGGAGCAGGAGAGGAGCAGCTGGAGTCACCCCAGATGAGAATTCCAGAGGCAGATGGGGCAGGAAAAGAGCAGCTGGAGTCACTGAAGCTGGTAATTTTGGATGGAACAGGAGAGGATCAGCTGGAATCACCAAAACCAGGAATTTCAGAGGTGGATGGGGCAGCAGAGGAGCAGCTGGAAACACCAACACACGCCATTTCGGATGGGGCAGCAGAGGAGCATCCAGAGTCAGTGAAACCAGGAATTTCAGACGCAGATGGGGCAAGAGAGGAGCAGCCAGAGCCACTGAAACAGGGAATTTGGGATGGGGCAGGAGAGAATCAGCTGGAGCCACCAAAACCAGGGGATTGTGGAGCAGAGGGATCCAGCCCCGAGGACACGGAGACCGGCACAGCCCCTGCGGAGAGTTCAGAGGTGCCGGACGCAGCGGGAGGGGGGGAAGGTGCCCTGGAGGAGGGAGGTGGCACTGGGATTGCCCTGAGCATGGACACAGGGTCCCCAGATGGTCCCAGAGATCCCCAGAGCGATGGAGGGGACACAGAGAGCCGGAATTCCCAGAGCGGGAATCCCAGGATGGCAACACCAGGACGAGATCCAGCAGCCAGCAGCACCGAGCCCCAGGAACACCGGGAAGGAACCAGCCCAGAGCTCCCAGCAGAGGAGGTACAACTGGGACGACCCCTCCCCACCCAAACTGGGACCCAGAGACCCCTC